GGGGGCCCTTTGGACCATTGGCCCAGCGCCATGGTAAATCCAGTACTGCTGTACTTCCTATATGAAACATTTGCTAATGTGAAGATACCATAACAAGTTTTTGCTTTACAGTTTTGAGAATATCAAAGTGCTAAGGGGGAACGTGGTTTAGTTCAAAACCCAACCCGCGCATGTCTGTAAGGCATCTCATCCCAAAGTGCTTCACACATGGGCTGTATACACAGGGATTGCTTCTCGCCTATGGGTTAGAACACACAAGCTGCAAAAAGTTATTCAAAAAAAACCTTTGTCAAAAAAGGCTTTATGGAATATGCTTATGAATGTATATATGACATAACTAGCATGTTTTATGCTACATATGCCATGTAACATATTTCTATAAAGGTTATGATCTACTGAATCTATTAATCCTATTTGTATGCATGTATCATTTTTGTACTTGAAGTGAGGAATAATGGCTGTATACTTGCTTGATTTCTATTGAGAAAGGAATGTGCAAATTAAATGCCCAATCAAGAACCACTTAAGCCAACAATGACTCGAAGACGCCAATCCACATCGGAGCTGTCCCAGGAATGTGGCTTGGGTGGTAAGAAACTCAGGCATGCATGAACATGTGACTTGCCCATGTGACTCCAAAACTCCATATTGGAGCTGAACTTTGCATAGGAGAGAGGAGGGGGTCTCCCCCGACAAGGGAAAGTCTATTTAAGCCTGTGGGAGACCCCTCCATTTTGTCTTCAGCTGGCTAAAGAGAGAGCCTCTCCACCCCCAAGGATACCTGAAAGAAACTGGAACAAAGGACAGTAACTACAGGGGGTGTGCCTGATTGCTGGACCCAGACTCGAAGACTAGTCTGTAAAAGAAAGCTTACTGGAAGTGGTGAGGTTTTATCTGTGTTCAGTTTTATTACTGTACCAGACTTAGACTTGCATGTTCTATTTTATTTTACTTGGTAATTCACTTTGTTCTGTCTATTACTACCTGGAACCACTTAAATCCTATTTTCTGTATTTAATAAACTCACTTTTTACTTATTAACCCAAGGTATGTATTAATACCTTGGGGGGGGGGCAAGCAGCTGTGTATCTCTCTCTATCAGTGTTATAGAGGGCGAACAATTTATGAGTATAAGCTTTATACAGGGTAAAACTGATTTATTTGTGGTTTGGACCCCACTGGGAGCTGGGCAACTAAGTGTTAAAAACAGGAACACTTCTGTAAGTTGCTTTCAGTTAAGTCTGCAGCTTTGGGGTACGTGGTTCAGACCCTGGGTCTGTGTTGGAGCAGATGGGCGTGTCTGGCTCAATAAGAGTGGGTGCTGGAGTCCTGAGCTGGCAGGGAAAGCAGGTGCCAAGACTACTTCTGCCCCTCAGTTGGCAGTTCCCAAGGGGGTTTCTGTGCTTCAACCCGTCACAGCCATGACGACCGAAAACTCGATTGCCCTCCCTGCCCCTCTCTCCCATCTGCTGTAGATTAGCCCAACTTGATGAAGAGAGACAGAAGGACCAAAGGCAAGTTGCTTGGTGAGTCGCCCCACAACCACCACTGTAGCACCCAGTATCCCACATGAGTCTCATCTCTTCCTACGTGTTGTAGGCTCTCGAGAACAAGAATGAGGGGATGGACATCTCACACACTTCTCATGTCCTATCAAGGCAGACAGTAAAAACAGGCAACTCCAGGGAATCTCTGTGTAATCTCAGATAGAGGGGAAAAAATAAAGGCGGCAAAAAAATACAGCACCTAGTGTCACCTGCCTGGATCCAAACTTCTGTTGGGGAGGAAACACTACTCCTGGCCACAGAAATGAGCATCCCCTGAAAATGAGGTGCTTACCCAGCCCCACCTACCAGGAAGCCCCTGCCTGGAGGCAGGTGGGCTGTGTCCACAGTCCTCACTAAACCAGATACTCACTGACCGTGACAGCTGCTCTGTACCCATGAACAATGCTGGCGGTCTCACTGATCTAGCAAGCTTTCCATCTGACAAGGGGGCTGGATGCTGACCCTCAACTTTTTCTCTCTTTGTACTAAACACAAGGGGGAGAAACCCTAAAGTCTGCAATGATGTGTAGGCTCTTCTTCTTGCATCTCCCTCACCCCAGGGGTGGCCTCTCAACTCCCACCCTATTAGCCATCACAACTACAATTACAAAGCACCCTATTACATCTGGGCCCAGAACAGGTAAATGTCAAAGACTTCCAATATATAAAGTCTAACTCCAGCACAGAACCCTGCCCCTTCTGCAGCTGAGTCCATAAAGGGGTTGGCCCTGACGCTGAAAACGCTTCAAGGATATGCGTGTACTGTTACCCATACTCATGAGTGCTGGCAGCCACAGGGCCACTCCCACCAATAAACAAATACACAGAATTAAGTTTAAACCAATTATTTATTATGGGAATTATTCCTACTGGGGGCCAGGGTACTGCCGTAGGGATGCAGTAGTGGAAGAAACAGGGGATGGAGGGCATTCTGGGTAATACATTTGGAACCCCCAACTGGCATCTCTCCAAAACTAAAAATACCTAAAACCTGTTACCTGAAATTGGGCCAGCTAGTACGCTTAGGGAGGACTAATGACCCACTAGAGTTTGGCAGAAAGCAGCACTTTTATTATACTGATAGCTAAGCTCA